TGTCTCTTCCAGTTATCCTTGCCAAATTTTCAACCTTCCTTGAATCAATTAGTTTTCTTCTTTAGTGTATGTTTAAAATCTGAGCAAATTTAGAATCCTTACGCTATCCATGTCTCTTGTCATCAGACAGTAAATAAAAATGAGCCCAAAACAAACAAAAAAAAAAACGAGTTATGATTTCCTTACTTTTGCGTTCGTTGATTTATTTACTTATTGATTATTTTTGCTCGAGCAAGACGTGTAGTGTAGCATACTTTACAGATGCTTCCAAATACCTGCAAAAGAAAATGCAAAAAGCAACGAATCTTTCAGTAGCATGACACAGACGTGAGCACAGCAGACGCTTGAAGATGCTTCAATATGCTGATATGAAATAGTTGAATTAAACGGTTGTGTCAAATTAGCTCTAATTAATCTCTATGTCAGATGATCAGAAGGCGGCGGCAATGGCAACTTACCTAGAATTGGACTTGTCTAAAATCTCTAAATGTAGTTCAATTATAATTGGTTTGCTAACTTCTATGCATCTCTCAACTACCGTGTGTGTATCTTTAATCTTTCCGTGTGTGATCGCGATCGTGGAGAAGAAACAACCAAGAACAAAAACTAATTATAATCTATAAAAAAAAGCATACAAATACATAAACCTAGATGATATATACAACAATATACATATATTATACATATATATATATATATATATATATATATATATATATATATATACTTAAATGTACAAGAACAATATCTCAATGGCGTCTCAATACAAAAACCGAAACCAAATTACAAGAATATTTACGAGCAGAGCAGAGAAAAATTAATACCAAAAGGGTCATGTAAAACAAAAAGAACATTTTTACATAAGAAAAATGCATTTTTTAACAAAAGTCTACGTGTGAATTGAATAAAACCTTATATTATATGTGTATACACGCATATATATATATATATATATTACATATATATACATTTTATTAAAATATATATATATATATATATATATATGTATATGTAACGTCGAGCAGCAATTTTTTATAACAAGAAGCGGCCCTGCAGCAGCGGCAACGCCAATGGGAATAAGACGGAAGCGGAAGCGGGTGCGGAAGCTGAAGCGGAAATAGAGCAACCCTGCCTCAAGTGCGTCCTTGGAAAAGCGCCTGCATGTGCATGTGCTCTGCCTACTGTACACCGTGTGTGTGCGTTAAAACGTTTTTGAAGTAAAATTTAATTTACACAAGACTGACGCTAAAAATATAACTAAGAATATTAAAAGTGTACTAACCGTTTACGAATTTTTCAAATGCCGCACACGGAGTACTGCTGGAGGGCGGAGGGCCATCGGACATCAAAGAACGAAGAACGGGCGGGCGTACGAACGGATTGGGCAGTCAGCAGGGGACGGGAGGAGCGCCGATTTGTATATGGTTATATTACATTGTACTTAATAAATGGAAAACCTGAGATATATATTATATATATTTATATTTACAATAAAAAAAAAAAACAAAACGTAAAACACAAAAATATAAACTATGAAAAATCCGTAAAAAAAAAATATATATATATATATATAAAAAAGTAACTTAAAGCAAAATTAATGGTAAATAACAAAATATACAGTGTTATTTTTATTTTTATGATATTGTACTTATATTAGTGAATAAAATTAACGGCGCAGCAATAATAAGAAGAAAAAATAATTTAGCAGACAGAAACAAAAATAGACAGAAAAATATCCAGAATAATATGTGATGTGTGATCGATTGATGATTGTTGATTGATGAATATTGTATAAAGCAAAAGCACAAAATAATGAATGAAAGTGTCCCATTACAATCCCTAAAGCAATACGAAAAGACGAGTGTTATAGATATTATTTTGGGATTCAAGCAGCATAGAAGATCATACAAAAATTAGTTTCAGAAAATATAAATAGATTTGGTAGGTGGATGTCTCTGCGGAGAGGACGAGCCTAGAAGATACAATAAACGTGCAACGAAATCTTTTAGATTATACAAGGAATAACCTTAATCCACATATAGGTGCATTCATCAGAGCTGTACTCCACTCCAACCGATATACATATAACGATTTATGGGATTGGATTACTCGTTTTTAGTGATGCATAAATGTTTGTTCGTTAGTTCAGTTGAGGTTGACATTCCCCCGAGCCCAAGTCACCACAACCATAACCACCACCACCAAATCTTTTTTGGATCATTGTTGTCAGCAAAAGAGTTTTTCGAACATACTTTATACAATGCAAAAGCATAACCAATTTCTAGAGCGAGATTTCGATCCGATCTGTATGTATAGGCAAAACATGGCAAATGGTGAAAAGCAAGAACAAACAATGACGGTTTTTCTATCAATGTTGAAATGACAGCGAGTGTTTAGGAAATATTTAACCATATATACAACATATATATTGTATTGTATTGTATTGTATTGTATTTTATTGTAGCTAAAATGGTTTCATGTAAACGAAATTGTTGAGTATTTTTAGTCAAGAGAGAGAGTCGATGTAAACCACATACAACCATAACCACACATAGACACAACAGAAACACCAAACACACAACTGAAGAATTTACAACAATTGCCAGATATTTTAAGGAATTTTCCTGGAAATTCTCTTTGGTACACATTCTTTTCGGTTACACATTTGTTTTTGTCTTCAAATTTATACTTTTGCGCAGAATTTCGTTGATTGCCTTCTGCTGACAAAACTGTGTCCATTAAGCTCCCGTTCCATTGATTTGATTTGGCCATTATCCCCGAAATCCAAAAACCAAAAACCCCCTCTAAGATATAAACAAAACGAAAAATATGCCGAAATTCTGTTGCAAAATATACATGCATACTCGTACATATATAGTACATATGTCTGAATGTGTGTAAAATTATCTAAATTGAATCAAAGTGCATTTCAAGTGCTGCACATTGTGAGAATCTGTGCTGAAGCTGAAGGATGAAACAGGAGACAGGAGATAGGAGTCATTGTGTGCTTGCCACAAGATACACGTCTGTAGAGATACCAAAACCGATACCGATATAGACCGCGATATATAGATACCGATACACCTACATATTTTAAGCCAATTAAAGCGCCCACGTGACCGAGGGATAAGAATTAAAAATATGTATAGCAACAAAAAAAAATAGCAAAAGATTAGCTGAAGGGTAATGCAAAATACTCGCGAATACTAGAGAAATTATACTTTTTAGCTAAAACTTAAATGGAAAACTAACAAAAATGTATCCAAATTCTTCCGTAAATGAAAAAAAAAAAAAAAAACATTTCTAGCGAAACAATTTACCATACATAAGAGTCTATATATACATATAAAGTATACTATACACTATACTGAGCAGCATAATAGTAGAGTCGAAGTCAAGGAAATACGTAAAACATATGAAACACACAAAAACACGAACGAACCCCCAAACAACCCAAACCCCAAACCCAAACAACACAAATGAAGTACAGATCAAGCAAACGACAAATGATATCAGCCAGAAGCATAACGGAGAGAGAGTGAGGGCATAGAAAGAGGAAGCTATAATTGGAAGAAAGAGACAGAAAGACAGTTAGTTATAGTGACAGAATCGAACTACTGATCTCTAAAGTGTGTTCTATGCTTTAAAGAGAGAAGGAGAGAGGGGGATGGAGATGCAAAAGTATTACAATTTTGAGCTGCAATATTTTTTAATCAAAAAACAAAACATGACGAGAAGGTTTAATGAAAGTAAAATAAAAACAAAGATAATAATTAATATATATTTTTCTCTTTTGAGATAATCGAAAAACGAAAACTTTTTTTGATGTGAATTGAGTTAGGAAAACCTATATATTAACAAAAAAAAAACAAAACAAAAAAAAAAGACGAGATCATAAACAGTAAAACATATTCCGAAAAGTATAAAAAAAAGAAACCAAAGCTATAGCTAAAGAAATGCACAAAGTTTTGTGTGTATTTTTTTTCGGTTTTATTCATGTGTGTAAAACTTCCGTGTGAACAAAAAACAAAGACAAAGAAACCCAAAAACAAAACTACACTACACTACAAAAGCAAAGCCAGACACTAAGCCCAACTGAAATTGTCAAATATGAATAATATATATAAAGTCTATATGGAATATATATTTAGATAACAATATATATATATACATATATATTATATACATATGTACATGTGTGCAAATTATTCAAATCCATCAAAATACGATGCAGATAAGGAAAATGAAAACAAAAAAGTCTCTATATATTTAGTAAATTATAACGAAAGAAAGAAAAATGAATACGTAGTACAACGGCAAGCGAAGTAAAAAGTATAAAGCAAAACAAAACATATAAGAGATCTAAATTCGGAAAAAAACAAAAAACGGAAAAATGGAAAATGAAAAAAAAAAATGAAATGAAGAATAGCATAAAAAAATAATTATTTATAAAGGCTGTAATTTTAAGTAAAGAACAACCCGATAAATATAACACGGCATAATGAAAAGGGAAAACCAAACGAAAAGCGAAACAAAATTTAACGTAAACATATTTCACCCACAAGCAAATTATATTAACTAAAATCTGAATGGAAGGACGAGAGGAATACTATAAAACTTAAGTACGAACGATATCTAAAAAGAAATTATAAACCTAAATGAAAAAGTATATAAAATAATTACATACAAAACGAAAACAAAAAACAAAACAAAGTAAAAAATAAACTTAAAAGCAACCAAACACAAAAAAAACCAAATAAATTATATATACATATACGAGAACTCAATGTATGTAATAAATATAAAACTAAATAAATAAAATATTTAAAAAATGGAATAAACCCGATCATTACCGTATTTTAATATGAATAAACAAAACAAAAAAGAAGCTGCTGCTGCCGATCAGACCATGGATTGATGTCACGCGATGACGCACCTGACAGACCGACCCCGGACCCGACCCCTCCCGAGACTTTGACCAAGAAAAACATCATATGGGGTGAGGGGTGGGGGGTTTTATTATCTACAAGCTATAATGCATTTTATTTAATCTTTGTTATTTTTGTAATGCCAAGGTACATGAATAGTCGTAGCCACGCGGCGCCGCCAGCCTCTGGGGGAGACGTCGCACTGCGATTCTGGGTTTTGCTCTACTTCCAGAGACGCTACGTGCCGGCTCGGCTTAGTTTACAATTACGAGTACTACACTCACGATTGCGTTTATCGCTTTACAATACTACACACAATAAATACATTAAGTGCACAATGAACAAAAAAAAATAAAATTCTATGAATATTTTGAAGTGTGTGTCGTCTGTCCACACATTAGGAACATGTCAGGGCCGGAACTAAGAGCTCCCTCTACTTGCTGATGAAGCTGTGATTGTGGTTCTGCATCCTTACACTTTTCGGGGCCAGCTGCTTGCGGTCGAATTCGAAGTTCTTGTGGGTCTTCACCATGCGGGGATTGGGTCCAGCAGAGGCCCTCCAGTACACCGTTTGCATGGCATTCCGTCCGGCAATGTAGCGAGAAGTGGAACTGACCAGATGAGGCAATTTATTGGACGCAGACATTCTGACCGATGGATTGATGGAGTTGATGGCGTTGTTCCTTGTGGCAGCTATCACAGTTGGTATATAGAGTAAACTCTATATATGACTTTGGGTTGGGTTTGACGGGTTGTACTGGCTCTCCGCTCTCCGCTTTGTTTAATTCATTGGCGCGCACGATTCGTTTCTGTGTCTCTAGTCGGTTGTGGGTCCAGTATTTATAGGCGCCTAGAATGCCGCTTGTTATCTGCCATTTGTGTGTTTTCGGCATTAGCTGCTAAATACGAGTAGTGTCTGGCGGTCTTATCAGCTGTGCTGTTCGCTCAGATGATGATACTGCTGTTAAAAGGGTTGTTAATTGATTAGCTTATGGCCCAGAGTCACCCAGAGCCACCCACCCGGACAGACGGGCACTAGTGCGATGCAACGAAATGCAACTGCGACGCATTTTCCTAGAAGGTCTGTTGTTTACCTGACGGGCCAAGTACAAGTGGGGCTGGATTGTTTCCTCTTTGTTCTGGTTAAATCCAAAGTTTCGATCTCGTAAGAGTACTTCCCATATGAAGCTCAAAGTCCAAAGAGAAATACTGCACAATCATATACCCTATGCACCCTAATGACGTAAATCGTTGAATTGACACATTTTTTGCACAGCTCTCATGGCAAAAATGTACCTACTATATATTTACAATATATATTCGTGCTATATTCGTACGCAAACACATCCTGCCGGCTGGATTATGCACTTTAAGATATATTCCATCCATTTTTGTGCTTGAGTTTGTAGAGGCCCCAGCTCTGTAAAGTACTTACCTAGCATGAGCTCTTGACGTGTGCATGGTCTTCTTATCAGCCTGCTTTCAAAACAAAAAACGTCAGGCATCGGCGACTCCCCTTCTATGAGTCTATGACTGCAATCAGGCGTTGTAAAATCCATCAAAAAGCGTGCGCTCGAAATTCGTTAAATAACAATAACAGACGATATGATAATGATGATCGCATCGCATCGCACTCAAAGTTCAAGTTCAATTACAGAACTCCCAGCGGGAGGGGACCCAATTCAAGCTTATCAACCTCTGCCACGTTGTCGCATAGTGCAATTTATTCGTCATGCCGTCAATATAGATGGGGAACCGGGGAAAGCAAAGTACATTAATCGCATGGGGAATATTTTGTCGCCAAAACTTTTCCATGCTTTCGTGGAGTGTTTTCTTTCATAGCTTGTTTACAATTGTGTTCTTCTTTTGACCACCAGACGGTAGACTTTTTTGTATTCCCCCTAGTACTATACAATACGAGCTTGTTGTTGGGCTTTGGGACTGTTGGGACTGATAACGCGGCGAGTGAGTTTGTTCCCATTTAGCTTTTAGCACTTTCAGTGCCCAAAATCACCTTATCACCTTAACAAAGGAAAAGAAAAGAAACAAAACCAAGAAGAAAACGTCTGAAAAAAATATAAATAAAGCAATCGCCAGACTTTGACTTCTTAAAAGGCGACGTTTGAGGTAAATCGCGTGAATTTGCCACAATTTAAGGCCAATCGTATGTTGTATGATTTTATGAAATTGATTGCGGGGGGGGGGGCTTACCCTAACAATATAAAAGATTGTATCCCAAAGACCAGAGAACCACCCACCAGAGTTTAGCAGGTCCAGGTTCAGTCCAGTTTCCAGTTGCCGGGGACTGATAAGATTTGTTTAGCTTTTCGGGCTATGCTGATAATGTAAAATACCAATGCTATAATCTTGATTGGTAATGGCATTGGGGCAAACGTGTGTGTCACGGTGGTACCTCAATATAGAGAACAAAACCCAACAATTTGTTTGATTTTTGGCAAGCAATTTATATTGCCTACTTTTGGGACTACCTCGAGAGGTACATATGTATGTATGTATGTATGTATGGAGATAGGGTGGAGTAGCCATAAGTAGTACCAACAAAATGCTGGTGAATGGTAGAATTCCCTGCTAGGTTTACTAATTGAATTAAGAGTACATTCTCGTACATTTAACGCCTACAACTAACCATATAGCTAACTAATTCCCACTTAAGTCATCGGATCTGCCTGTGGCCTGCGGTAATTGGGTTTAATTGGGACAAGACAAGCAATTAAAGCGGAAGCAAACGATGTGAACTGAACTAAACAGCTCGATTGGGTTCGCTTTTGTTTTTTTTTTTGGGAGTGCACTCGGCGAACTCTCGTCACTGTATTGCTTAAGTAGTTTACACATAAATTAAAATATTATGGCTGGACTCATTAAATACGATAGCTGCTCCGACGACCTCCGACCTCACTGGCCGCGACCCCAGACGAGCAGAAGCAGAAACAGGAGCATCGAGATAATGTTACCTCCCAGATGGCCACAGCCATTGCAGACCTTTCGAATGGTTTCCGTGTAGAGGCCACGACGTGAGAGGAGATTACGAATACTGCGCAGCTCCTGGAAGTATATTGGATTATATGATTAGTTGGATCCAAACATGGGGGAAACATTCCACTTCCACTTACATCTGCACTGAGTCCCAGGCGATTCCGTGACAACACCACCGTGTAAATGGAGCTCTTCACATCGTTGCCGCAGAAGGTCAGCACCAGGTGATCGTTGACCGCCTTGACCACCTGGACGGTGCCCGTGAACTGCGTGTAGGAGTTTAGGGTCACCAGACTGCCCCGCTGATCCCCAATGTTGGACCACTGCCCGGGTGTTCGAGTCGTATAGTTGAACGTATACTCTAAATTATTGTCGCGTTCGCTCCAGACCAAACGCAGATAGTTCTGCTTTACCCGCCCCTGATTCGGATAATTATCCTCTCCCATATACGAGGGTGTTGTCGGGTCACGTCCGTAGTTGTTTTGATTCCGGTTGTAGTCCGGGGAACCATAGCCGTCCCCGCCGTAGCCGCGATTGCTGAGGCTGTTGACCATCTGAGAGGGAGAGAGAGATTTGGAGACCCATCACTAGGGGCAGACACACTTACCTGATCGGTCACGTCAGCCAGGTGTATGATGACGCACGAATCGTACTCATAGACGCCGGGAAAGTCTTGGCTGTGGACGATGATCTCGCTGCCGTACCAGAGGCCCATTATCTATATAGAGGCAGATTCTGGTCATTAGTTTTCGAGTGCACACACAAACACACACCCACAGAGCGAGAGCGGGAGAGAAGGAGGGCAATGTAGTACTGATGGAGGTCATTTGTGCGATTTGCATGCGACTTTCTGTGCGTTCAATTAAATGCCACCACAATGGGACAACAATGCTCCCTCCATGCTGGTCAAGAATTGACATTGGGCTCACATTCGGCGCAAAGGGTTAATTAGAACAAATCAGCCATAATTTCATTAGCCAGCCATGCATTCCTTACATACATTAGTGATCATTTTCGATTGGGAATTTTCCTCTCTCTAATGTTGAGTGTGGGGCCCCTCACCTGTTCCAGATCCACCGAATTCTGTGGATTGATGTTCATGCAACGCATTGCCGAATTGATTCTCTCCGTTGTGGTGGATCCACCAGACACGGTGCCATATTGGTCCAGGGCATTGCCATTACACCAGCAGATGCTGAATATCAGCCAGTAGGCCAGGGATCTGATGAACATTCTTGTGGATTCTCTTGCAGCTGCAATGATGATAGCTCCACTAGATTGTTGATCTGCTCTTTATGAAGTCTCACTATCGACTAACCAAACGGAACTGAGCTTAACGAAGCACTCAGATCGGACTCGGACACAGAGAGAGTCTCTCGCGAGAGTATTTTACCCATATAAATGGAACCGATGCCCGCTTAAAGTGAGTGCACTCTTTCGCATGCTGAGAGAAGTATAGAGAAAAAAGAGAGATAGAGAATACAGAGGGAATAATACAGTGTCTGCGCATGCTCTCCGTACGTACCCCAGTCACGGCAAACTGTGATATTAATTAAGTTAATTGTAGCGCTTTTCAGGCCCTGATCATCCAATCGCGCGCGCAACGCCCGCACAATGCGACTGAAGCGAGGCGCGTAAATGGAGCTCGCACTCTTCGCCTGCCCATCCCATCCCAAGCCCCGCCACCCACAACCTTCCGCTACCCCTTTTGACCCACGAGTCTTGGTGTCAATTGAGTGTGTGTCCGCTCCGAGTTGACCGTCAATTAAACGAGTGGCTGTGCTGCCTGCACCAAAAAGCCAGCCAAGAGGCAGCACACCAAACAAATATAATAGCCAAACCGATCTAGAGCGAAGCTTGAGTGAATCGGATTGAATGGGAGTGAAGCTCGAATGGAACTTCGTGAATTAGAATGGGGATGAGTCAAGAAAACATCGCCGGACTTGTGAATTAAATCTTTGCCTATGGCAGCTTAATGATGATGTTCGCTTAAGCTGTCTCTGTTGCTGTGGTTCCGTTTATTAGCATTGATTATGCTATTAATGTACGCTGCGTGCACGACATTTAATTTGTGTGGAGACGTAAACTTACAATTTTTAAAAGAAATATTCAAAAAAATTAATTACAAAATTCGTATTATATATTTAATAGTCATGTAAGCGAAAGGTGGTTCTCCTCTAAAATCGCAACAAGCTCTCATTGATCTTCTCGTAGATCCAATCGATATAATGGTTCACACGGACATAGACACCTGGTCTATTTATGTAGCCGCAGTGCTGGCCCCACGATATGAGGCCATACAAGGTTTCACCATCTGCGAATAGTTTAATTTGTCATAAGGATCTTTGGATTGGCTTAGAGAAGGATATTTTACCATCATCAGAACAGACGAGCGGACCGCCAGAGTCGCCCTCGCAGGCATCTACACTCTCGTCCATAGAACCAGCACAGAACATACCTGCAATAAGGCAAAAGATTGGAATGCGTTTCTAAAAGACTTAGTTTTAGTTAAAAGTACCTTCGGACATGGCTGAGCCATAGACTTTCGATTGCTTGCAGGTTTCATCTGGCAAAATGGGCAGCTCCGCAGATCTCAGTACTTGAGAAGGAGCTGAAAAAGAGGAACAAATGAATCGGATGCGGATGCAGGAAAACTCTGATTTATAACCCGACTTACTGGAAACTCCAGATTTGATAGAGCCCCAGCCGGAAATTGTGCAATTTCGATTGCCTTGGAAAACCACATTCTTGTCCGGCAGACAGATCGGCTGGACATAGTCGCTGAACTTCAGGGGACGCTTCAGCACCACCACAGCGATGTCGTTGTTCATGTGAGTGCCGTCGCGGAACTTCTCGTGCGTGTACCACTTCTCAATGAAAGTGTCCACCTCGGAGGACTCGGCAATGTTGGCATAGTGATCTCCCACCCGCACAAAGTATGCATCCTTTGCGTTGCCATAGAGACAGTGGGCGGCTGTGAGTAGATGGCGCTTGGAGATCACCACGGCCCCGCACCAGTGACTGGAGATACCGCCACGTCCTCGTGTTCGAATGGTGGCCTGCCACGGATGACGACCCCGACGCGCTGTCTTTCCCTTCACCACACGCTCCCCGCTATGAGCATACTCATCCGACAAATCGTCCTTGAAGATTCCACAGCGGCGAGGAGAGCGCATGGCACGGCTGGACCGCTCCCACAGGCCAATGTCGGAGTAGGACAGGGCTGCACTTTTCTCTGATTCACCCTGCTTCAGCGCTTTGAGGCGGCTTGCTGATCGAGGAGGTGGTCCTGCCGAGCAATGCAGGGCCACATCCTCGGTGTGATTGCAGTTGTGGTCGCCCCAGTTCCAGTGGCTGCATTTGTCGATGCTGCTCTCATTGCCAAAGCACATCACCTGATCCAGCCAAATGGGTCCGTTTCCATGGCCAAAGATGTTATTCTCCAGTTTCTGTGGGTTTTCAAGGGAAAAGATCTTGCATTCACTAGAATTCTCTACTTAACTTCCTTACCGCTGGTCCATAGTAGCCCAAGGAATTGCATGCCACCTGGGCAGACTTTAAGTTGAAGTCATCATCGCACACGCTACCCCACACGCCATGGTATTTGACTTCCAGTCGGCCTTCATTGGAGCTGCGACCTCCCTCCAAACGATACTCAACAGGAGCCTGTGTGGGAATGATCATCATTAGATTGCATTGGGGATACTTCTCCACCTGTGTTTAACCCACCTGACAAACGGTCGGGCTTTCGTCCGACTTATCTGCACAGTCCGCAGTATGGTCGCAAACGAAGGCTGGCGGTATGCACTCCTTGGAGGTCTGACAGAGCCAGTAGTTGTTCGGACACTTCATCATGGGGACCTTGCAGGCAACGCCGGCCACCTCATCGACTCCACAATTGTGGACGCCCCAGCCCTTGAAGTGGCAATCCTTCAGCATCGTTTCGTTGCCCTGGCACTCGACCTCGTCCATGGCGTAGTTGAAGTTCTGATCGGCAGGAGCATAAAAGGAGCTACCGCGGACCTCTTGGGCACCCAACTTGTAGCCCAGCTCCCGGCACACCACATCGGCGTCCCTTAGTCCGAACTTGTCATCGCACACATAGCCCCACTGGCCATTGACTGAAAAATGGTAATGGTTAAGTATAGACTTCATTCTCTTGGTTTATCTACTCACTTTTGACTGATATCCGACCCATGTGCGGCATCTCTCCGCCGGTCAGACGCACCTCGTAGCCCAAGTGATTGCAGTTGCTCTCGTCTAGACGATTTCCACAGTGGTTAAAGCCATCACAGACAGAGTCCTGCGGCACGCAGATTCCGTTCTGGCAATCGAATTCGCAGGTTTCATTGAAGGAGCTTCGCACATCTATTCTGGATGTGACAGACTCGGCATTCGGATTGGTCATCAGCTTCCAGTCGGTCTCCTTCTCCGGCTGCTGATGTTCGGGGAGTTCCCATTCGGGTAAGGTTTCCTTTTTAGGGAACGGATTGGGCATCTCCGGATGACGACGATGGAAATCGGGGCTGTGCTCGTGGTGTCTGTGTGGATTGTGGTGATGAGAGTTAGGGGGAGGATGGTTGTGTTTTTGGAGGGAGAGCGGATCGAGGAGATTTGGATGGCGTCTGTGGAAGTCACGACTGTGACCGGACGCGTGCCAATTGATTGTGGTTGTTTCGATTTCCGCTCTGCGGGTGCTCCGATGGAAGTCAGTCGGGGATTGGTACGTGGTGGGATCTATGGTCTGCTCGGTTCGGGCCGTTTCCCCGGCATCTGGAAAAACAGAGTAGTCGTCAGTTAGGTCCAAGCTCTCCTGTTCCCCGGCTTTAATCAGTTCGGCGTCATCGTCTGGATTGGGTGTTGTGGTAGCTATTCTTTCAGGTATTGAAGTTATTGTTGTAGTGCTCGTAGTCGTTGTAGGGCTAGTGCTCGTTAAAGGTTTGCTAATCACAGAGACTATCGCCGATTCTGCCTGCTTGGCCTGTCTCTCCTGGGCATTGCCACTGTGATTGAAGTAAGGACGTAGCATAAGCTTCAGAGCCTCACTGATGGCCAGTTGGGAGACTGGATCAGCCGGTGTGGAGGCTTGCGAGGAAAGACTCTTGGGAGGACTATAAAACTGATGATTAAAGGGAGGCGGCGCCAGCCCACTTCTCTCGCTTGTAGTCGCCTCTGTTGGTAAATCTATCTCCTCATATTCAAAATTGTCTTCAGCAACGAGCAGATCGTCGGAGTCGTCAGTTCGAGCTGTCGTCGTACTGGTTATCACTGACCCCTTGGCCCAGGAGGCATTACGCGAATGGGATATGCCCGCATACGAGGGACTGTAGTGCGGATGACTGGCACTCTGTGGCACCGACGCATTGCCTATGTGCGGATAAATGGGATACGTGTGCAGCTTCGAGGGCGTCTTTGTTGTGGGTAACTGCGTGGGTATAGGGGGACTGGGGTTGGGCGGCAGTAGTCCCCCATAAAGATTCGATTCATCGGAAGGAGCTCCCCGATAGCTGGGCCTCTCATTGGGGCTGGGTAAATGGGGCTGCAGAGAGGCACTTGGATTGAAACGGGTTCCTATCTGATGTGATTCACTAGGCAGCTGATCAGAATCGTGATTAGGTGGAAGCAATCCCTGACTGGGTAGTCTCGGATAGGTCTGAGGATCTTGGGTTTTCTGTTGATTGGGAAAAGATTCGGGACTGTAACCCAAATCGATTGGTTGCTGTCCTCCTAAGGGGGTTCCGGATGGGTGTTCCCTTTCAAAAGGTCGCTGCTCTGCTAAATGAGCTCTGAAATGGGATTCCCTTCCACTAGGCTGATACTGATTGTAAGTCGGTGGATTGTCCGGCTTATAATCAAGTTCTAGGGGTTGTTGTCCACCAAGAGGAGCAAGTGGAGGCATTGATGGTGTTTGTTTTGGGGGAATGGGCTGCCATCTGTTGGTCGGTGAGCCGTGTTCGACACTGGGGCTGAAGTTGTAACCCGTTGTATCAATAGATCCTGGAGGCTGTCCTCGCGGGGTTGCTTCCTTCTCAACACGTTCGGCGTAGAACACCTGACCAGGAGTGGTGGGTGCCATGGTGGCCAGAGGAGCGCTGGGCACCATGGGTGCCAGAGGAGTCTTAGATGTAGGATAATTACGGTTGAGCTGAAGGGATCCCTCCACATAGAGCACACTCTGGGTGGGGGATCGATGGTCGTAGGAGCTGCCCTGACCGGACCAACCCTGCGAAGGATTGGCATGATACTGTGGACTGTGCTGGAAGCCGATGCCAGGAGGGCGCTGCATATTCATATCCCTCCAGCGATCGCCGTCGCCAACCACTGTGGTCGTTGTCCTGGCCACATACCGGTTTCCCCACTGATCCTGGCCGGCTGTCTCGTAGGATTTTGACTGGCGATTGTCTGCAAGTAGAAGGAGAGGATTTAACACTAGTCGGACACGACCCAAGGGTTAGTAACCATTAAGCTGATCCCTCCACCCATAAGAGGCTTCCCCTTCCCCCCCCACGATATAATCGCAGCGATCGTGGCTTGGCATCTCTGCGTCCGGCCCACACAATCGACGGGAAATACTAAAAATCTGTCCACTCGGGCAGTCGTAGATTTCGGCCAGGCCCGGCTGGCATCTGATGAACTTGCTGGAAATCCTCGGATGTGGCAGGGATCCACTGACTCCCACGGGACAGACGGTTTTTACTCCCTCGGCTTTCATTTGCTGCGTCCACTCGTAGATGATCAGTAGCTCGCTGTTCGTGTAGAGGCGATCCTCACGCATCACTTGCTCCTTGGGCTGGCACAGACCACGGCGTACACTGAAATATTGGTCTGCCGGACAGCTCGTCAGGATCATTCCGTTTGGCCCGCAGCTCAGGAATTTCGCGCAGTCGAAAGGATAGACAAAGTTCCCACTGGCCCCCGTGGGACATCTCACAACTGGAAGGACATAGTGTCAGGCTCGTCAACGCACAATTTGGAACTCGCTTAAGTCCTACTCACAGGCATCCTCCTCCACGGACCTCTGCTGGTTATACGGTATGCGATCCCCGCTGGCCACTTGCTGATTGGGCACGCAAAAGCCGCGAGAAATGCTGAAGACATCGGTGGTCGAACATCTCCGTGTCAGAGTGTGACCCTCCATGCAATGAAGATAGCCCATGGCATCGAAGGGATTTGGGAACAGGCCGGTCACTCTGGGCGGACACATCAAAGCAGCAGGCGCTGGCTGGTAGCCTCCTTCTTGTGGGAAGCCCCTGCCCTGCGATTGCTGGTATCCTCCGTCAAAGGCAGGTCCAGTTGGTTGTGCTTGTGGCGGATATCCTGCAGCCTGTGGAATGATGCTCCCCAGCGATGGCTGATTTCCTCCGCCAAATCCAGGTACATATCGTTGTGGCTGGTACCTTCCGTCAAGTGGAAGTCCTGAATGTTGTGGCTGATATCCTCCGTCATGTGGGAAGCCCCTTCCCGGCAAGGGCTGTTCTGATTCGGCCTCTTCGCTCAATTCATGCTGTGTCTCGCCCAGATACTCGACGCGATCGTAGGACGCCGTTACCTTGTCCCTGGCCACGCAGATCTGCTGTGAGATGCTGAAGACCTCACCCTGCTTGCAGCTCTCGATGGCGGTCTGCTGATCCCAGCAGATTACATACTTGGTGCAGTCAAAGGGATGCAAATAATAGCCCTGGCTTCGGGGAGGACACGTGATCATTGTGAGGTCCTGCATGAAGTCCGCTGAGAGGGAGATGCTGCATCTCGAATCAATAGTAAAGGATCAATGTTTCAGGAAGCTTACTCAAGAATTGGCCACTGAGATATACGTAATCCAGGAAGTCATGGGTAGAGAGGAGATGACGCGCCGCGCACTCGCGTTGGGAGAGACTGAAGACGAAACCCGATGGACAACCCTCTACCTGGAGAAGCCCATTTTGGCACTTTACAAAGTGACCCGCATGGAAGGGATATGGGTAGTTGCCTTGGAGATTTCGTGGACACGATCTGAGTGGAGATTGCAGTGTCTGACTGTCTTGATAGCTGTACGTAGTCTGAACCTGCAGTTCCTCCAAGAACTTGACGCGATCTTCACTGTTCAGCTGACTGCGCGGCCGGCAAGCCTTCTGCGACAGACTGAAGGCCATCTGTTGCTCACAGGCGAGAATGGTCATCTTGCTAGCAGAGCATCGGACATATTTGCCAGCATCGTAGGGATAGAGGTGGAGTCCGTCGGTGCCACCAGGACAAGCGGATAGGATCATAGCTGGGAGAGTCAAAGGGTAAATGAAAATGCTTGACCCCGATGATAGGACTTACAATACTCGTAGCTGATCTCCGAGGTAATGTATGTCACATAGTCGGAGTACACCAATTGGGACTTGAGCTGGCAATACCCCCTGGATATGCTAAACACATAGCCAGGCTGGCAGCTCTGAACGGCCACTTTTCCGGCCTTGCAATTGAGAAACTTGGTCTGATCGAAGGGATGGACAAAGAGACCATCCACTCCCGCAGGGCACAGGAGACCGCTTGGATTCGTCTCCACTGCAGTGGAAGGGTCGGCTAAGAAGGGGCTGATACTGATTAGCGTTCATTCAAAAGTAGCGAGCAAAGAATGGATTGCAGAATGGTAAAACACGCCCAAATGGAAAAGCAATGAGTAAAGCAAAAAAGTGAAAGAAGAATGATTCGACTTACAAGAAGGCTGTGTGGGTTCGTAAATATGCTCTGGACCACTCAAGTGGGCTGTCGTTTTACTTGTTTTAGTATGCGCTGATGGATTGAGGACCGTCGAAGCACTCCTGCCACTGCAGTCCACTTTAAAGGCAAAATCACAGGTGCTGCTGGCAGTGCTCCATGCTGTTCCTGGCCCACAGCTTTCAACGAAGGTCTGACCATTGGCGCAATTCAGGAACTTGGTGCAGTCGAAGGGATGGACTTGAAGTCCAAAAGCGCCCGGTGGACATGAAGCATAGCCGTTTACATTCAAGTTTTTTCCATATGACTGTCGTCCTGCGCCGTCTTCACTTGGTTCGTGCTGCGCCTCCCATAGATACTCCACGCGGTCGTAGTTTGCTGCCAGTTGATCCTTGGAAACACATCTCTGCAGGGAGATGCTGAACACCAGGCCGTGCTGGCAGCTTTCGATGGCAGTCTGCTGATCGAGGCACTTCAGATACTTGGTACAGTCGAAGGGATGCAGATAATATCCCCTGCTCTGCGGAGGACATGCAACAGCTGTGAAATCATGCATAAATTCAGCTGCGAAAGGAGAATGTCACTTCGGATCAATGCTGAATGTGCATGGGGTTAGCTTACTGGAGAACTCAACGCTGAGGTAGGAATAATCCAGGTATTCATGCGCAGAGAGGAGATGACGAGCCGCACACGCGCGTTTGGAGAGACTGAAAACGAAGCCAGATGGACAACATTCTACCTGGAGAAGCCCATTTTGGCACTTTACAAAGTGACCCGCATGGAAGGGATATGGATAGTTGCCTTGAAGGTTGAGGGGACAAGATCTGAGCGAGGACAGAACTGTTGGCCCATGACTGTCTAGATAACTGACAGTAGTGGTCGTCTGAACTTCTATTTCCTCCCAGAACCTGACCCGATCTCCACTGCGGACTTGAGGACGCGGCCGACAATCTCTTTGCGACAGACTGAAAGCATTCTGCGGCCCACACTCGAGGATGGACATTTGGCCACTAGCGAAGCATCGGACATATTTCCCAGCATCATAAGGATAGAGATGGAGGCCTTCTAGTCCGTTAGGACATGCAGTTAGTATCAGAGCTGAGAGAGTGAACTGATTTAAGGAAAATGGAAGGAAAATTCACCAAATCGGGGGACTTACAAAACTCGTAGCTGATCTCAGAGATAGTATAAGTGACGTAGTCATTGAGGATCAACTGAGATTTCAGATGACAATACCCCTTCGATATGCTAAACACATTTCCGGACTGACAGCCCTGAACGGCCACCTTTCCGTCCTTACAATTGAGGAACTTGGTCTGATCGAAGGGATGAACAAAAAGACCATTCGCTCCGGTAGGACACAGTATATCGCTGACATGAAGCTCGGAAGAATTGAAAGTAGAAGCTAAGATAAGGCATTGGAGGAAAGATTATATACATATATCAAAAAACATGGAAAGCAATATAGATCAAAAGCAGGCAAAAGCAAAGGCATGAACCGCATGAATCGAGATGAGAAACACAAACCCAAATAGAAAAAGAGATGAACCAAAGCAAGGCAAAGCAGGATAAAGATCAGGAATATAATTCGACTTACAGGACGACTGGGAGGAAGAGGAAGCTGAAAAAACACATACCAATCTGTGGGCATCGAAGTTCTGCCCAGGGGGACATTTCTCAACCCTCGCTTGGACACCGATGCCGCATACCAGATACTTGTACGGATCCCGATGATGCTGATGGAGCCCACGCAGACCGGGAGGACAGCGTGGGACTTCCGAGGAGACTTGAGAGAAGCCTTACCCAGGTGTTAGTTAGTGGTAATCGGTGAGCATTAATCATACATACCTTGTCCGGCCGCTTCTGCCCCACAGTCGACGGTGCTCTTGTGAACACAAACTAGGGCGGATGGACTGAATGCCGTGCCAGGTCCGCAGTCCTGCACAAAAACTTTTCCATTGGCGCAATTGAGAAACTTTGTACAATCCGTCGGATGTGGCTGCAATCCAATCACTCCAGGCGTACACCTGGGCTCTGTATCCACTTCCCTCAGACGCGCTGATCGATTCGGCTCAGCTGCTTGTGCTCCTCCTGCAGGCGTGGCACATGCCACATTGCTGGGATGATCGCACACCAGCGTTCTGGCATTGAAAAGGGTTCCGGGTGCACATGTCTGGATGGTGGGACTGCCGTTGTGGCAGTTCACGTAGCGATGACAGTCATAGGGATAGGACACCACTCCCGAGAACTGAGGAGGACAGGCTCCACCTCCAACTCCTCCCTCCGATGGTCGCTCGTAGATGGACTGCTCTTGAATGTTCCCGCTGCTCCCGTACGCTGAATGCCCTGCCGATAACCCGGCTTGTTCTGCCTGATTGCTGCCGCTCGTCCGGTAGCCACCAGAATGATAAGCATTTGCCTCATGCCCCTGTCGAATGCATAATTGCGAAATAAGTATTATTAAAAACATCAATTGAATTCGATCTTTGGGGTACAGCTTGTAATTAGGATCAATTTAAGTGCGCAAACACTTCCTGTCTACAATTGGCAAACTAATTCGTAATCGGAATCCCAGGGAAAGGAGGGTTCTTCTGTTCTGAATAATAATCCACGAAATATTCATGCAATACTAACATTGACCACCAGGAGCAACAACCAAAGGCCCAAAAGCCACTTGGCCATGTTTCCTTGGACGATAATTATGTTTTTTTGAATATTTATATATGTATATTCTTTTAATCTACAGATACTGATAGCAACTGTTCAAAGATTTTGCCCGAGACGCGATCGAATTTCTGTTTTAACTTGTAGTCCCGCTCAAGTCTCAGCCTCGACTGACTCAGCGCTCGCATTTCAATTCTATTGGAAAGAGGGATTCTCTATCTCTGCTCCCTGCTCGCTGATATATGCTGATGAGGCTCTCGTCGCCAGAGCCAATTGAGTCTGGAATTATCTGTTTTAGTAATCTCAAGACCTTTTTTTTACTGTCTTATCGCTGCATTTTGTTTGTATTATTTTTTTGATGGTTTTTCCCTCACATATTTCTGTTCTGTTCTGAAACTACTGATAATGAATTAGATGATGGATGGATCACATCCACGATGTGATGATGATGATGATCTACAATGGCGCATAGACGCGTGTACTCTTGATGCATTTTATGGCTGCTCTGCTTATATTTACACAACGTTCAACGCATTTAACAAACAACTTAAGTCTCACCTAATTTAGACTAGATAGATGACTATGGCTATGGTTCTATGGGGATTGGATCACTTGGTTGTCGGCTTATCTGCAGGCGGCGGAGCGAGCTTCACTTTTTGCTGTATCTTTAGCCAGATCTGGTCGTACGGTTGGCTCAGTTCCGTTTGGGTTTTGGGTATTCCCACTGCCCGTCGCACTTCAGGGGAGAGAAGCAACATATTTTGGGCCAGACCAAAGGTGCTGGAGGCCACCCAGTACACACAGAGAGCCGAGGGCACGGTGCAGGCCACTGGTACCATAACGACGCTCAGTCCGCGAAACACATGATTGGCAATGTTCTGCAGACGTGTGGGCGGCCGTGTTCTCGTCATGGCTTGGAGCTCTATGATGCCCAGATTGAGGAGGCCTAGGGTCACAGGCAGTATATAGGAACTGTCCACCACAGTGAGGTTTGGTATCCAGCCAAATCCGCCAATTGTCATTTCTGTGGCGGTAATCTGGGCTTGTAATGTGGTCGGATCCGGCAGCATGTAAACCAAATTGCGAAGGGCGACGGACTGGAAAATCCACAGAGGAATCTGACCCCACAGCACGATGATTGTCTTCATTGGATGGCAGTTGTCGCGCACTATCAGGTTTTGCCATTGCTTCTTGATCTGAAAGGAAGGGGAATTAGCAATTGCTTAATGAAATTGTCTCTCTTATGCAAACCGAACGCCTGTAGACGATTGACGTTTCCTTGTCACTCCACTTGAACTTCTGCCTAGCCATCGCCGCCTCACGCTTTAGCTCCTCCACTAGAGCTGGCATTTCCAAGGCTATCCGCTCTATGCGTGCAGTAATTTTTTGCTGGTAAATCGTCAGCGGCAACGTGATGACACCTCGAAACAGGAACGTGGACAGCACAATGGAGGACCACCAGGGCAGGTTACTGTAGTCGTGGATCTGGATAAGTGCATCCTGCATATAGGCAACTGGAGTGCTATTTGATAGAGTCTGCCAAAATCCCACTAGATCGCCAGAATTGGCGAGTTGCACACTTGCCGCCGCCGCTTCTGTTGATGCCAGGCGACGATCGGGCGTGCCGTTTGGTGTGCTTGCCCGTAAGTAGCCATTGGTGTAGGTGGCCGCAATGTTTGGCCGTCGGCAGGCACGCAGCAGCAGCAACGTTGTCATTTAAAAATTAAAAACAAATCTTGCTCAACCGAAAGTTGTTTCACCTAACATTCCAGCTGATCAGATTAGTGTGACCATTAGCATTTTTTCCTTTTCTTTTCCATTCTTTCTTCAAACGTAAACAAACTTATTCCGTTTGTTTTGCTCAAGCTCATATGTGTATGTATGAGTAAGTAAGGACAAAGTACAAAGCAAAATGTAAAATTTTCAAAAATTTTAAAATTTTTTATCGATTCAACTTTTTCCATTTTACCGATTTCAAAATAAAAATTTTGCTACCTCTTATCGATAAAACATATTTTAAAAATACCGCAAATATACTGACGAAGAACAACCAAAAAAAGTTTGCGGAAAAGTGCAACTAATAACATAATTAATTGCAGTGCAATCAATTGCAATGCTTAATATAATACAATGCAATAAACCACATAGAATGCGCTGCTGCGTATGACAACAGCCTTTTCAGATAGGTACGCGATCAGCAAACACCTCCAGCAGGCATTTTTATACTTTCGCTGTGCTCCACTCCACTCTTCTTGTCTTCTTCCTCTTTCCCTCCTTGTTTCGTGAACACAGAAACAAAGCAACAACAAAAGGCGATAGTTTGTGTGGCAAAACTGGGTGCGTCGTCATACGGAAAACGGACTTATCGATGAATACATTTTCTAAATTTTTAACAACTTTAAATTGCTTGTAAGTATTGTATTTTGTCTAAAACAAGGTTTAAAAGTAAATGTTGCCCGCAACACCGGGACAGCCGGGTAAAAGAGGTCCTTACCCGATTCAAGTTCTGTTATCGATACTATCGATAGTGCACTCGATGGTTTGACACCTATTTGATTTGAAACGAAATTAATAACGAGCTTTCCTTGGTCTCTGGGGGAAATACATAAACTTTAAAACAGAGACTGACTAGTTTCTACATTCCTAAGAGTCAGATGACAAACATTTTCTCTATATATTTCTATAATAACTTTTTCCGGTATACATATGGTCCACACACATCCATTGGATGTTGCCAACGGTAAACAAGTGGTTACGTAAAAACATTGTTGATGTAACATTGGAATTAATGAAAATCGTAAAAAATGGTCGTCACACCAAGAATCATTTCTTAGTAGATATTGGTTCATATGTATGTACCAACCATGTAGTTACCGTGTAGTTACCATGTACAATAATATTGCCCTTTTTTGTTTAAACAAATTTTAGACACCATCCAATAAAAAAGAGACCTTTAAATTATTCAGTATTGAAGAAAATTGATTCATCAGTTACGTTTTCGATGTTGAGGGTCCTAGCTAGCTAGTTATATTCATTGGAATATTGAACAGAGAACAATTAACCCATTGTTGACTAGTTGGTATTCAAATATTATAAAACTTGAAGAATTTTAGCGCAGCTCAGATGAAAGATATTGTGGTTTTTTGATGTAAGTAACGAGGAATGATAGGAATGTTCGCCTGTTTAAATAGAGGGGGTTAAGTGGGTTATGTATACGATTGATTTTGCCAGCCCTGATTTTCTGCAGCCCTAGCTGCACTCTTGCAATTTTTCATTGTTTAAAACGCAATAAACATTAACAACAAGTAATGAATTTATGCCAAAGCCACCCACCATGGCAAACAATACCAACAGTGGCATTAACTCAGATTTTCGACTATCTGGAGCCCGAGGACAGACGGTCGGCAGCAAGTGTTTGCTACGCCTGGAGACAGTGCCTGTTTCAAAAACGGTAAGTTCATGCAGCTGTGTATGTGTGTGTGTGTGTGTATATGTGGCTGGCTGAAACATTTACATTTTGCACATAAATTATACATTATTTCCATATTGTATTTCATTGTATATGGTATCATATACATTTTATATAAATGAGTTTATTCAATACAAAAACGCCCAAGAGTATGGGGGTAGGCAGTCAATGACCCTTGAGTTGTAGGTGACGTTTCAAAGACACCTCCCCTCCTTTTGGAAACGATGCAACGACTCTAGTTTTTTGTTTTTCTTAAATTAGTTTAATTTCCAATATTTTTTTTATTGAATAAACTAGTAATCTTTGTCTTCCAACCGCACAGATACTTTAGAAACTTTCGCTTTCAAATCGATGTGGCGCGCGATGATCAGTTAACCTTCTTCCACCGCAGTATGGCCCATCTGGTCAGAAAGCTGGTGATTGTCTTTGACTTTCACAATGCATTTCAGATTCAGAAAATGCGACGACTTCTTTACAAGTACGTACTTCGAATACATATCGAACTATGACCAAAGTAATCTCTGTTCCATTCTTTAGAGTGGCTCGTTGTGAGAACATCCAAGCGCTGCGTTTCCAAACCCACAATGTAGGTCTTGTTGCCGTTGGAAACATGAACAGCGATCACTTTGTGGCCATAGAACAGTAAGTATTACGCCAGACAATGCAATAAGGCTGCTTATCAAGTATAGAACTTTTCCACCTCCGCAGATGCTTTGTGGAACCTTTAAAGTTGTTTCTTAATCGCAAAAGTAAGCCCTGTCATCTGCTGGATCTAGGTGCCATTGAAGCTCTTACCTACTACGGTCAGGACTTGCTTAGGTCCTGTGGCAAACCACAGGAGCTGGAGCAGCTGACACTGGCCAGCCTTAAATACGATCCTAGTCACTATCCAATACTCTCGTTGGACATAACGCTTCTGCAGAAGTGCGCCAACCTTCAGGTGCTGTCGTTGGACTACGATACGCTGACCGATGACCTGCTGCACACCATCCAGGTGCTGCCACTCCGAAAATTTATCATCGTAGTCCATGGACTGGACAGCGAGGAGCAGGCCAGTGTGTCGGAGTATGCCTGGGCCAACTTTGCCAGGCATTTCACAAACATTGATCTAGTGCTGACGTTGGTGTACGCCTACGAGGCCATTGAGCTGCTGCAGACTCGTGTCCTGCGTCGCCACATGCCAGTGACCCATGTGCGGCTACTCTTCTGTGAGTTCATGAATTCTGAGGCCCTGGACTGGATGTCGCTGAACAATAAGGACACGCTGCGGAGCATTTACTATATGGACTCAGCGTATAAGCATAACAATCGCTTGGACTACGCCCGTCACAACTTTCTGCGCCAGGACCCCTTCGTAATGATGGCCTGGCGTTGCATGCATCTGGAGGAAATTGTAGTCCATGGCTATCTGATGGATCCGCACAATTTGGTGGGCATTGCCCGTTTGCGAGGTCGCAAGCTGAAGCGTTTGGAGGTTTCCATGATTGACTGGTCCATGGCTCCCCTGAATGCCTATAAAGAGGTGAGTCCCCAATGATGCTCTGCTCCCATATATGGCATGATCTATGTGTGTTCTCTCTTAGGAAATCTGCTCCCTCCTGGGACAACAGTGGGCACCCATCAGAATAGATAAACTTCCTCCATCGCTGTCCTATGGACCCGTGGACTATGAAGTACGCGATCAGTTCGTATACGAGATGTTGCGCCAGGATCTCGGCTAGTAAGTGGGTGGATGCAGCGGAAACCTCAAGTAAAAATAACCAAAAATTAAAGCAAAGTCATAAAGTAAATTCAAGAAACAACCGACCGACATAACCCGTGATCATCTCGAGAGCGTAGAAACTATCTTAAACATTATGAAACTTCTAATTACGTAGATAAAACAAAAAACCTAGAGATGACAAAAGCGAAGACTAAACTGATTCCGCATATATGTAGATGCGATGCGTGTATCCTATGTTATGAAAAATGTGAAAACGTAAACTGAAAATTGATTCGATTGGCAAGCATTTTATAGAAGTTAAAAATTTAAGTTTAAAATTTGTATAATCATGTTTTGTTTGCCAGAAAGCGAGAGCTGGGAGCTAGAGAATGTTAGGAGCAAAGACTTGAGCACGCCACAAATCAATGTAATTTATGTAAAGCAGATGGGCAGAATGTGTTTGTTAAAAACTGCTAGAAAAAACATCATTTTATAAGCAACAAGAACTGTGATTCAAAGAAAAAGCAAAAAAAAAATGCGAATGCGAATACGAACACGACAAAGAGCGAGCGAGCAAAAGCTAGCGCGATCCAGTGTGAGCATCAGACGACACCACAACACAACAAACACCAAGCAATTGTTAAGCGAATTGATTGTCTAGTTAGCTAAGTTTAAAGATGTAAAGAAGGAAATACGAAAGTGTTGCAAACCGAACTGTTTGTAAAACCAACCCAAAAGTACGACCAATGTCAAATTGTTTGCTCAAAACGCAATTGGCACAAATTGTTAACCTCTGTAATAATGTGAATATGTAAATGTGAACACGGCGCTCAATTGTGATAAACTGGATGACAAAGAACACGACACGACAAAGGCAACCACAAATGTAACAACAACGAGAGTACGATCCTCGTTCGCTAAGCGCCGCCATTTGTCTAGTTTAAAGTGATATTATGACAGCAAAAAAAAGGACAGAAAAATTGTAAACGAATGCAATATACACACACACACAGACAGACACACACACTCACAGAGAAACACTCACGTATATATAGTATATATAAATATTGTAATAGCCAAATATCTAAAGGCTAAACGATGCTGCCGTGTGTTGTTCATGCGAGGTCACGGCCGGAGGCAAAAGCAATAGCAATATGGCAATGGCAATGGCAATGGCAGTGGCAATAGAAATGGCAAATGTAAAACCCAAAACCAACTTTTAAGTATTTTGTAGCACAGGCATTAATTTATACAACTATATGTACTACTATATTTTACCTATGTTTGCACAAAACAGCAGCGTATTGTCCAAAGCTCAAGGCGATAGATGCTGCTGCAGCTGCTGCTGCTCCCAATGTTGCTCACCGAACAACAAGTACAACCACAACGACAACAACAATGGTACCTGAAGATCATGTTGAGCATTTAGAGAAAAACAACAAGAACAACAGACACAAGCACTTGCTCAAATTTAACAATCTAAACAAAACAAAATCTATTGAAACAGAAGACTGAACGACAAAATGTGCGTTGGCTATGTTTGTTGGAGCAACGCAACGCAACGCAGGGGAGAGACAGCACCACAGCAGCGAGTTCTTGGACATGCCGAAAAAAATCAAATGCGATCTCAAAGACAACTCTTACAAACTATCCAATCGACCATCTATATTGTATGTATGTATCTGTATCTGTAAACCTATGCATGTAATCGTTTTTGTTATGGATTGCAATAGCAAATATTAATTTGTAAATCGAGGTGTAAATCACAGGGAAGGGAAAACCAAGCAATCTATGCATGTATGTATGCTAAACAACAACTGTAGTTAATTTAAGTCTAGTACCAACACCGCAACAACCAAGCGACAACCAACACCAACAAAAACAACAACCAAATGTGATAAAAGTGTCATGCTGCTTCCGAAAAGAACTAACATCCAGAGTGCCATCCAGCACACAATTGAATGTAGTTAACCGAACCGAGCCGAATCGAATCGAACCGAATGAGGGGACCAGTTAGTGAATGATCGAGCCACTCAATCTCTCAGTCTTTATTGCCGGTCAGTCATTCGGTCGGTCGTTCGGCCGTTCGGTCGGTGCGTCAATCAATGGATTTATTCAGTTACAATCAACGTAAAGTATGAAGAGTATTATAATTTTGTGTTACACTAGAGTCACTTCCAACAACGCTGCTGTACGAGTACATGCTGTGCGTAACGTAACGTTCTTTTTGTATACTTACTGCAACAACAAAAATATATATATATATTTTATATGCCATTTATTGTATTTAAATTTTAATTCGAGAGGAGAGAAGAAAACCAATTTTTGTAAATCATTCCACAAATGTAAATCATTGTACACCACAAAGCAAATGCAATTTATATGTTAGCCAGCAGCAACAAAAATGCAGCAAACAGCAATCAACAATTGCAGTAACATCAATGTCTAAGATAAGTGTTGACAGCAGAATGAAAGAGAAAGAGAGAGAAAAACACCAACGAGAAGAAAGCGCAAGCATGTTATATATGTATATGAAATGAGTATATAAGACGTAGCCCCCCGATGTGAACTTATATACAGAAGGAGCATGAAAACACCACTTACACTTACGATGCTGAGGGAGTGGGTGTTCAAGGGGGGTGGAATGATATAAGAAAAGAAAGACGATTAAAAAACAGCCGTGCATTAACAACAAGATTTATAAATGTACATATATGCAAGTTATGCTTAAAAGTTATGAGAGCAAAAGTGAAGAAAGCTGTGATAAAAACAAGAAGGCAAACAAGAAGAACACACAAACACTAAAAACAACAACTATTTCAACAACAACAACAACAGACAAAAACAAGAACAATTATAACAACAACAAAAGAACAAGAAAAAGCCAATGCGAAACATGTGCGACCAACAAAAGAATGTTAACAACTTTTCCAAACAAAATAAAAACAAAAAGAGAGTTAAGAACAACAAGAAAACGACGATGAAGATAATGATGTTGATAAGAAGGACCGTTAGGAATGAGGCCCGATGATATAATATTTAGCAGATCGACACCGATCGAGTAGTACGATAGTTAGGCTTAGCAGGAAGACGATTGTAAAGCAGAGGCAGCCAGCGTGCAGAGTAAAACGAATTCGTTTAATTATATTAAATCTGTTTTATCCAGAGAAATGGAAACCAATGTTAAATTACATTAAAATTTAACAAATACTCACACAAAAACCAATAAAAATATGCACATAGATCGGCTTTAAATAAACGGGTAAAAACATTTTATTTGAAAACTGATTTGCCATGTATGATTTCTGAAAAAGATTTTATTAAAGCTTAAAAAACAAAAACAAAAAATGGCTAGCAACAGTTTTTGTGGCATATGCAAATATATCATTAACATTAAGACAGCAACAAATTATAAACCAATTACGTAGCAAGCAAAATGCATTCACTTAAAAAATCAATAAAAAAAAAGTTAAACAAAATTAAAATGCAAATATAATAATTCATTTCGAATGCTGTTAGGAAGGTAGCAATTCCTTTAGCTTCTGTTACACAACCAAAACATCAACTCACACACATACACACAGTCGCGTTCATTTCCGCACCCACAAACACATAGACCTGGAGGACTTCCGCTTGACGCAGATGCTTTCGCTCCGCCGCCTGCGCTGCTCTTCGTGGGCGAGAGCTTTTCTCAGTCCTTGAACTTTTGACCTTGTTTTTGGTAGGTGCCGCCTTCAGCTTTATCGCGGTCCAAGGACCGATTATGTAAGTGGTTGCACGTTATGCAACATGGCAACGGAGGCTGGCCCAGTGGCTGACAAACTGCAGCAATTAGATAATTATGATACGCGTCATTCTCTGGAAGAATTAAGATAGTTGAGTCTTCAATCAGATAGTGCTGTTAAATGAATGACTAGCGCTGTCTCCGAATGGCTTATCTGTCTTATCTGGACAAGAGACAACCGGCGAAAGGCGTCAACAGACAGATAATACTAGGAAATGAGATAGTTCTGGTAGGGGATCAAACCGGTGACGGGATCCGTAACCAACAGCCCTGCAGTCAGCTGTAATAATACCCGTGCAATTGTCTCGCCCAAGTTAACTATAAATAAATATTACGTTTATTGATTTATGCAGCCTTTTCGTCCAGTTTTAGTCTTAACTCCATTATTGATACACATAGTCGGGCCATAACGTAATCGCATGAGTAATGAACCAATATCGAGAGTACTCGTACTGTAGCACGCAAATAGCACCTTTTGTTTCTGGGGGTTTGGGGGCTTAGGGGCTTAAGGGGGCAATCTCAAGAGAAAAGCTTCGCGAAATGCAGCTAGGAATCGGTGGAAACATTGGCGTCGGCGCTCTCGGCCATGCTCTCTCTTTCTCTCTATCTCTCTGTAGCTCTCCGGCCATGTTCTCTCTCTTCGCCGGCGTAGTCATAGTCATCGTAGTCGTCGTCGCCGCGAGTCGAACAGTTGATTTTTGCACAGAGCAGAGCCCGACAGTCGAAAAAAAATTAAAGAAACATTCAACAGAACAGCAAGCAGCAAGAGGCCAGGCCGCAAGAAGAAACATTTGCAATTTAGTTAAATGAAATTTTAATAAAATTAGCAAAAAAAATTTACACTGCGTTGGAACAGTCTTTGAAGTGGCATTTAAACTAAACAGCTCCACTCCTTTTGATGCGAGCCAAGGAACCCAGACGAACCCCCAGTTAACATAGCTTAGAGACGATTTTTCCAACTGTTTTACAAGTCCTCCATTTATCCACCCATCCGGCAGGCGCAAAAGGTGAGTGGACCCAAAAGGGGCCTCCGTTAACACCCCCACTCCCCCCTCCCCTTCTTCCTCAAAAAATATGGTGTGTCTCTCTCGTCTCTCACGGACTGTGACATAACTGTCCGTGTGTGTGCGCGTGTGCCTTAGTGTGTCACTCTCAAATTGCTCATACGTCGCGTATGCCTTGAAAGAAAACAAACAGAGACCGCTGCTGCTATTGCTGCTGCTGTCATACTTTCCAGACCAAACATTCGGCACGAATAAATCTGATGAGTAAACAAAATCCCTACAGGTCTTATCCGCAATAATTGATCGATGAGATGGTGGCAAGCCCTATATTTAGACGTTTGCTTCGCGTTTGTGTGGCGCCATTCAGATTCATAGTGCTCTTTAGACGCATTGATATCGGATTCGGATCCCCAAATGGACGGTCCAATGCCTGGCTGCCTGCCCAGCAGATGCGCCATTCACGGCGCTCTGCGAATGCATTTTGAGCGTTCAGCGCGGTTCAACAAGTCAATTTGCAATCGTAGGGGTACTCTCGCAGCCGTTCCGGCTTTTTTCTATAAATAAACCTTGAATAATGCCGGCATATTTTCCCTCATGTCTTGCTGTGAGCTCCGTGAGCTCTTTGGTGCCTCTGTAAATACTCTTTTATCTGCGTCTCGAGAATTAATTTAAGCGCGCTGTCTCTCCGCTGCTGCTGCTACTGTTGCCACTGTCTCTGCTGCTGTTGATTGACTTTTTGCAACACTCATCGGCTACGTCATTTGTTGCGATTTCGAGGTCATTCAACATCATCATTATAAGCAGTAGCAGAAGCAGCAACAGCAGCAATTCAGTGTCAGCCCAACAAGTGCATGTTGTGGAATTTGCTATTTACAGCCGAAACAATCCCAATTAATTAGCAGTAAAATCGTACATATATACAAATG